CACATGAATTCTACACTCAGCTCTGACTTATAGCTTCTCCAAAGCAAGACTGAAATAAGACATTCTTGAAATACCTCCTAAAGGCAAAGGATAGATTCATTCTGGCACAAAGCCTTTGAATTCAGCTTGCTGGTGAAACTGCATGTTCATTTACAGCTAGCTGGGAAAAATAAATTCAAGTTTTATAAAAGGAATTACTTTTCTTCTCTCTCTACAGAGGAGTTTGGGCTAAATGGCCAAGGCACTCATATTTTGAGAACGTGCATTTGGTAATCTGCAAGTATAGAAAATAATTTATATTGGAAATTCTTTATGCTAAAGAACCAATAAGGTATTTCACATCATACAAAGCTTTCTGCATACAAACGAGGAGAAAAACCACGTGCAGTAAGACACCAGTTCCAATGAAATATGCTTCTCACTCCAGCTCCTGCTTCATGAATAGAATCCAAGCCCTGAGAAACAGCTCTATCTTGTAAGAGAGCTGTCATACCAAATATCCTTGTGCCACTTACAGACATTAAGAGAACCAACAGTTCAAACCCTACTCACACTTCCAGAAAGTAACTCCAAGTCCCAAAGTGGTGCTGTTACAACTCTGGATGCCAGACTGCATCTTAAATGTTTCTATCCAGGAGTTGGACCTGATGATCCTTATGGATCCCTTCCAACTCAGGACAGCCTGTGACTCAGAATCACAGAATGGCCAGGGTTGGAAGGGACCTCAAGGATCATGAATCTCCAACCCCTCTGCCGCATGCAGGGCCACCAACCTCCACGTTTAATGCTAAACCAGGCTGCCCAGGGCCCCATCCAACCTGGCCTTGATTCTTAATTTTCCTTGACTCTATGATTCTATTTGATTTTTCTTCTCTCTGCTGCCATCTGTAAAGTCACCAAGAGCCATGATTCTACCTCACCTGTAAACTGTGGAAAGGCACTACACACATCAGGCAGGAGACAATGCTTCAGGTGAACCTGGAATGACACTCCCTGCTCTAAAAACACAAATATGAACACCTGTTATGTTTATACTCCATTTTCACTTTAGATTACATGTATGGATTAAATTTATAAAGAAGAGAACAGAGGATGAAACAAGGTTTTATGCCCTACACAATGCATACCTGCCTCTTGTATCTCTTAGCCTCGTAGTTGAAGGCCATGATCAAGAAGATTTTAGTAGCTACATCATGAACTTCAGTATATATATATATATATATATATATATATATATATATATATATATATGTATGTACACACACACACACACACCATACATCACATGCCATGCTTCCTATACCTTAACTGGGATCACAAAGTGTTATTATGGGAGAAATTCTTTCCTTTCTGAAAGAACACTTGATTACTACTTGTGCAATCTTCTCCTTTGGTCTGTTTTACCCAAAATATGACCTTTCCTCTGTCCCATCAGCATTTTCTCCTCCTTGACAAAAGGATGCCTCACTTACCACCACCTGACTTCAGTAATTCTAGAAGAGAAGTAGGAAAAACAATGATTTTTAAGGGAGTTATATCAGTGTAAGAGCAAAATAAGCTGGCTGTGTAGCAGGTCCAAAGAGCACAGACTGTGAGAAGGAAGGAAACCACAGAAGGACAGTTGCTGTTTAACCTGCGTCTCAGACAAGATGTAAGAGACACAGAAAGGCCATCGTTTGCTGTACGATGGGAAGAACAGAACACGTGGATTGCCAGCTTAAACAGCTACTCCAGAGCTTCAGTAACTTACGAGAAGTACATTGGTACATAAACAAGACCTGAATACTTCCACTGTTTCTTTGAATTCCCCTGGAAACGCACTTCATCAGATAGCTTTTTTGCTTCCTCTTGCACCACCCCAGCAAACAATTGCTAAAACGAAAGGAGCTGGAGAAAGCTATGCAAGAATACCAGTGCATTTGTTAGCACAGCTGCTTGGATCCCCAAATCGAGATGAGGAAGCAATACTCTCAGCTCTCTGCTCCACGTACAACGCAGTAACAGTGAGATCCAGGGGACCAGCATGAGCACAAAGAGCAATCTGCATTTTTAGAGTGCAACTCACTGACCTATTTTAAAACACCTACTGGGGCATCATAGAATCATGATGGCTGGAAAAGACAACTAAGATCACCAAGTCCAGCAGCCAACCATCACCACCAGCCATTAAACCATGTCCTCAGTGCCACATCTACACGTTTCTTGAACACCTCCAGGGACGGCGACTCCACTGCCTCCCAAATGATGATAAATTATAATACTTAGCATGTCCTGTAAGAGCCTTTTTCTTTCTAATGAGTAAATCCCGGTTAGCATAAATAGTGTTGGTGTGTTTCAAGCTACCTAATCCTAAAGAGCACCACATGCCTCTTGCTCAGGAGGGAAGAATTGATCGCTGTGCCTTACGCACTGCATCACTGAGCATCTGCTGCCAGCCCTGGTTCTGCTCCCACTGGGAATGGGGCTTCAAAGCACCTCCCCCCAGGTGAGAGCTGTGCAAGTCCATATGAAATGCAACACACTAGATAATTTTCTCCATAAGCACAAGCCCTTGCCATCAAGCAGAACACTCCTACATTCTTCCCAATTCCACATAGAGGTTGAACACGCAAGCAAAGCTCCTGGGCAAGCACAGAAAAAGGCACAATACGTTTCTGACGTGCAGTATTCTTTCCCCTTCCCAAAGAGGTAAAAAACAAGAGAGATTCGTGCATGTGTCAAAGGTCTAACAATGCAAGACTTAAAGAAATACGGCTTTTGCTTACAGGTGCTTGGTCTCAGGCTGTTTTCTCATACTTCCTCACAAAGCATGGTTGCTTTCAGACCCTTTACGAAGTCTACTTACTTCTGTTATCACGTGCTGTTGACAGGATGAACTGTAAACCCAGATCACTCGAAGGGTGGAACTCAGCATCGTTTCTGTTTTGCTAACCAGAAAAGTCTGTTTTTATAGGTGTTTCAATATGCTCATAAGAATGTAAGGGAACTGGGCCATCACAGCCATGGTTACAAAATAACGAAACTTCCCACACCTATGAAGGTGCAAAACAGAGAAAGAAGCCACACTGAAGCTCACTCATATCTTCAGTTAAACAAAAACAAAACTGCTTAAGAAACCAGGTGTAATTCATGCACTTGCAGTCAAAGCTGAGGAAAGCTCTGCACAGATCTAGGAAAGAATCCACAAGAATCAGCAATAATTCAACAGATCTCTGGGGCAAAACAATACGTCTGTATTTCCAGTGCAATCAAAGCAGTCAGAAAAGCAATAGACAAGCAGAATATTTTATCATAAAATCACATAATCATTTGAGTTGGGAGGGACCTCTAAAGACCATCTGATCCAACTGTGCTGCAATGAACAGGGACACCACAGCTCCATCAGGTGCTCAGAGTCTCATCCAGCCTGACCGTGACTGCATCCAGGGATGGGGCACCCACCACCTCTCTGGGCAACCTGTGCCAGTGCCTCACCATCCTTAACGTAAAAAACTTTTTCCTTATATCCAACCTAAACCTCCCGTCTTTTAGTTTGGAGCCATTTCCCCTTGTTCTCTCACATCATCCTCTGTTACAGAGTGTCCCCTTCTTTCTTACAGCCCTTTTCTGCCTAACCCAGTGAAAACACAGAGGGAAAAGTAATGTCTAACCACCCAGTGGACACACACATGAGCTGCTCCACACGGATGAGTTTTTCCAGCCTCATCCTAAAAAGCTTTGAGCAAGACAAAAGCACCCAAACAACGGGAAGGCTGTTAGAGCAGCAGATAGGGTGATGCTCACTGCTGCACCAGGCAACACCAGGAAACTCCAGGTAAGGAAAGCAGGGAGGCGGTTCAGTGAAAGGCATCCGTGAGTCACTGTACAAAGAGTAATCGCAAGCAAGGAGAACAAACAGTTTCCCTCCCGTGCCCAGCACAGCCATTTCACCAGCTACAATGTCTGCTTTCACTTTAAAAAGCTTGGCAAGAACTAAACAGCTTCTACAGTTGTTCTTACATACGCACACAGTGTACTTAATCACCACCTAAAGTACATGCCTTACAGCTGGTAACAAGCAGAGGTCTTGACATCTATTTATTTATAAATCTTGCTGCTGGAAGTAATGTCTGAGTAAGGATCAAGCAATGCCCAGCAGAAGCAGATGCACCGTGACACACACACGGATGGAGCCAGCTCTTCCCACTAATCGTGGATTTTAAGCCCTTTGGATAACAAAAGCAGCAAAAGCAAGGATTGCAAGCATGGGAGAGCTGCGGGTTTCCATGCACTGAGGAAAGGACGAGAGTTGCTGCCCTTCGCCCAGCGGTGCTGCCTCTCCTTGGGGCTCCGAGGAGCACCCAGAGGTGCCACCCAACTCGCAAGGTCTCCTCTCTGCCGTTCGCTCCCTTATCCGAGCCGGAGGGGGGGCTGGATCGGAGACCTCGAGAGATCCCTTCCAATCCAAGCCGTGCCACGATCTTAAGTTCAGCTTTGCCGTTAAGATCTTGAATAACAACAGATCTCACACACGGAACGGAGGGGGCTAAGGAGAAACACGCTCCCACGTCTGCATCCCTACCATAGAGCCACACACAAAGCCCGAGGCTGCATCACTCAGCACGGGGTCGGCTCTTCAACTCTTTGTGTTCTCCCCCCCCCCCACATCCCACGGCCCCCGGAGCCCCTCCAGCCACAGCCAGCACCAGGCGCGGGCTGAGCCCCGATTTTCCCCCCTCCAACCTCTACCCGAAGACCACAAGAGGCTCTCGATCGCACAGCCCGAGGCTGGATACAACTCCCTTTGTTAAATGAATGAGCTGGCAAAGCAGGAGGGAGGCAATCTCACCCCCACCCCCTTTCTTAAATTGAATGGAAAGGGGAAGAAGAAGAAAAAAGAGAGAGAGAGAAGAAAAATAAGAACCCAACCGCTCAACCTCTTTGCAAACTTTCCAGTTGCAAAAAAAAAAAAAGAAAAAGAAAAAAATCGGGGAGGAAATCCCCGGCCCGACAGCACTCACCTTCCGCCCGCTGCAAGGTGCCGCCCGCTCTCTGCCCTGCCCGCTCCCCGCGGCCGCCCGGCGCCGCCTCCCCGCGTCCTCCCCGCTGCCATTGGCTCCGGAGGGGTCCAAGGGTCCGCCCCCTCCACCAAGGTGGGCAGCCCAGAGCTGGGGGAGAAGTTTGGGGTCGGTGGGTTGTGTCGGAGCTTTGAGATGGGCTGATTGTTCGGTGTCCGGTACCTGGAGCTGGTGTTGGTGAGGGGCGTCAAGGATGGTTCGCGATTACGGTGATAATGACGAGGAAGGCGATCGCCGGTAGTCGTGAGGCGCTGCAGTGACTTGGTTTCTGTTCTTGGTATCTCAGAACCGGCTCCATTAGGGACCGTGTGCACGCAGATCCAAAAAAGGAAAGAAGGGAAACGGGCTCTGCTCTGCTGCTGTGCTGCACAGCAGGATGTGCGTATCGCAGGGATGTTACCTCATACTGCAGGAGATTGGGGTTTGCTCTCCCCACGATGTAAAGCTCACAAGAAACTTGTCCCCACAGTTAGCAGGAGTGTTCAGCTCCACACTTATGCTCTGCTGGGAGAGGAGAAGAGATGGGACTTGATCACAGGCATTCAGGAACAGGAAACGGTGAGGCTGGTCTAGACATAGAGATGTCACACACTAAGCGGAGCAGGTAGATACATGGGAGGGAAATAATGCAGGTCACCGCATCAGACCTGCTCTTACACTGGCACAGCATGCCCGTATACAGCAGCACAGCCTTGCCCTTCCCTCCTGTATCAACGTTTATCAGTTCCCCTGATAAGTTTGTTCGGGAACTTCAGCAGCAATAAATGAATCCGACTGAAACACACAAATAGAGGAAGTGAGAACACAAGGGAGTGGCAGGGAAGGTTGGAGCGCAGCAGAGCTGATTTCAATCTGCTTAGAATCACGCTTAGAATTACTTCCCCCTTGATACGGGAACCCCCAGGTACGTGGGAGTCATGCCTACATGATCACTGCAGTGAGGAAAACTGCACAGCTGAGCTCAAATTCCATATTGCAAAGGAAGCACACAGAGCTGAAGGAAGAAATGAGCACAGCTCCTTTTCCATCCCAAACCAAGTCCTGAAGAGTGACCCTTCCTGTACTCTATATCAGAAAGCCTCTTAAGAAGCAAGGACGCACCCTGATAATTTTGAGAACAAGTTTTGAAGGCAGGCAGGAGATTGGTGCAAAGTACTCCTAAGCATGTCCTCTCTGCAAGATATCTAACCAAACACAATTATCCAACCACCTGGCAGTGAAATGGAGAATGGTGATAGCAAGTTACTGGCAGTAGCTGGCCTAAGGCCTGGCCCAAAATCAGCCCGTGGATTGCTCTAATAGCCCCTGCTATGGCTGCTTTTATATCTGTATCCAGATCTCGAAACTTCTTTCTCTACCGTGTTTCAGAGAGGATTCCCAAACATTTGGCAGAAGGGCTGTTTGAGATGTCCATGCACTGTGGCAGAATGGGACAGGGAGCTACTGCTGCAAACCAGAATTTGTACTTGAGAGAGGAATGAGTGAAATGCAGATCATTTATTTGCCTTGTAAGTCCTCAGAGCGGAGAAAGTGCTCAGGGGGAATTTCATAGAAATGATTCATCTTGCCTTGTACTCGGGATAAACTCAGATGGCCCTTTTTCAATATGGGTAAAAAGGGTTTTCTTACATCTCAAAAGGGTCTCCCATTTTCAATATGGGTGAAAAAGGGTTCTGTGGGAGACCAGTCCTGGCCTCAAAGACCAACACTGTTCATTTTTTTTATACTTTAGATGCAGAGCAGAGAGAGGAGCCCAGATGTCGTGGGGCACAGACTAACAGTTTATTCTCTAAGAAGTTTATTCTCAGCGAGACCAGCATTGATGGTTCATACCATGCTGTGCATCTTTGCTCCTATGCTACTCCCTGCATTGTGTCAGCGTGGCGATGTGTGCACCTGGGAGGGATCAGCAAACTTCTCCACCTAAAGTTTCCAGTAAGATTTTCAGGCAGATCAAATCCCCAGGCCTTGATTGAAATGATGCACAGGGAGTGGAGGGGTATGTGAAGTCACAGGACTGAGGGACAGTAACTTGCTGTGGTGAACTGATTTAATCACCTGCAATCATCTGTCCATTCCTTTAACCTACTCGAGCAATTACAGACAAGTTGGCCTCAGCCTACAAGGAATCAGAGATTATGAATATCTTGAAGAATTGTCACAAATAGAGAGAAACTTAATGACAAATCTCTAAGACTTAACAGTCAGGCAATGATTGGAAAAGGGAAGGGAAGGGAAGGGAAGGGAAGGGAAGGGAAGGGAAGGGAAGGGAAGGGAAGGGAAGGGAAGCTCCTCAGCCAAAGACCTCGCTAACAAGATTGAAAAGTTGCAAGTAATAGCAAGCAAAACTGAAGGTGACAGTAGGTCAGCATTCTACCATCTTGAGGTCTCTCAACCAGTAAATCAGAATTAAATCCAGCAAAATAATGCTTTTACAGTGGTGTGAAGTGATGAAGAAAGTGGACTATGATTCATCACTACTCTATGTATCATATAAACTTATACAGCTCTGCAAAACATGCACAAAACACTTCAAAATCAGAACCATCTCCTTTTCATTCCACTTTGTTGAGATAAAACAATAGATTAAAGCAGCAAAAATTGTGTTTCTTGGTGCAAAACTATGATGCTCAAGAGCAAATGCCTATTTCTAATGAATGCAACAGCATTCATGCATGCACAGGAGCAGCAATCTTTAGTTTTCTCCATACCTTTTAGAGTGTTCCAATGTCAGAAAATGGTCAGCTTATGCCAGTTCGAATTCCAACTTTGATTTGCTGAGATTTTGCTGCCTAGAGTGAGGTCAAATGCAGAGATAAGATCCCTTTTGGCAAACCTGGCTCTGAATTACAATGGATCTTACCACTGTCTGCAGTTTTACCAACTTGAAAACACAGCTTAGGCACTTGCAGTTTCTGCAGTACCGTTTCTCAGTATTTGGCTATCTCCAGTTTCTTCATTCTGGATAAAAGGCTAGAGCATCATACCAGAGATGGTCCCACGTGTCACTTGGGCCTTCATTTCTGCATTGAGAGGACTGTGGTAAAGATTCATGGTCTGTGTGGTTCAGGTGTAACAGTAATTATAACCTAGTGTGCACTTTATCACTTACATCCCAAATCATTCAGGTTCTCCTTAAGGGTTTTCTTGTTTGTTGAGCTATGCTGTAGCCGGTTAAAAACCCAGAGGAATCTTTGTGTCATTCCAATGTTAAATCATCACTTACTGCTTCACTGAAGCCCTGGAATCCAGCAAAACCTCTGGTGATGAATACTTTTACATTCCAGATCTGTTTTAACCAGGAAATTGCATAGTGACAGCTAAGAGAACTCAGTGCCTTGGTGAGCAGTCAGCAAGTAAGGATGAATACTAGGGAAGCCACAAGTGGCTATTTGGTTCTGGAAGCCTTATGTAGCTCTGGAAGTCATAAAATACAGATGGGTAAAGGCTTAACAATGAGCTCAGTCTTTGATTCATTAGCTAACAGCTGAATCTAAGTACTTACATCCCAGTTTTGAGGCAAGCTGCTAATTCAAGCTTAAAGAGATGGGCAGATTTGTCCTGCTCTGTGGAGGTGTACTGGTTTCTGGTTTTGATTTGGACTTTGTTTTCTCAGTGATCTGAAGAGCTTCATTTCTTGAAAACTCATCTCCAGCCATTGGTAATCCTGTTGTAGAAAACATATTTAAATGTCTAAGCTTTCTTCCCCCAACTCCTCATATGTTTTGACCATGCTGGGTCAGTCACTAATTCACACCAGAATCTGACCATTTACATCTTAAGCCTACACTGAGAAAAATAAATGTTGTAACTTGAAAACCTGCTTTCAGATATTACAAACAGCATCAGCCTGTTCCAGAAGTAACCATGACGCTCAGAATGTCCCTTCTTTCAATCTCTCAGCTTTATCCAATATCAGAGCTTCTCTCTGCAGTCAAAAAAGCCTATCTCTGCCTCTGTTCTTCCTCAGCCACTTAAAAACATCTACTCCTACTTGGTCCTCTCCTCCATCCTCCAAGCCTGTATCGTTCATTTCATCATTCACCTCATTTTCAAAAGTCTTTCTCTTTCCTGATTCCCCCCAGCCAACCCTTGGTTTGTACATGTAGTCTAGACAGTCCCTTAGCGAGTCCCTCAGTGCTCCATCTTGACTAGAAATCACAAGAGCAAATCTGATTTGTAAATTCTATGCATCTGGGCAGAGCTGCAAACGAGGAACGAGGCACTGGAGGAGAGTTAGAGGGGCTCCACTGTGAGGTAGGCAGAAGTGGGGTGGGGGGAAGAGGGGAAGCTCATAAATACTGCTCATTCACTTGGGTCTTTGGAGCATGAAGGAACTTGCTGACAGCACAGGAAGCATGGAAAGTAGAATGGTGAAAGCAGACAAACATCCTAAGCACATGACAGCATGCCTTTAGACTGGGAAGATACCATACCTGCAGAAATCACAGGGTGTGCTATGGTTGCTGTCTCTTTCCCAGCTGCCCTGCCCACAGCATGGCCTGGCTCTCAGATCTGGACTTTCCTGGCCTCGGGGACAAAAAGCGAGACTCAAAAATGGGTAAATTTGCTGCAGCACAGAACACTGCTTCCAGCAGTCAAATCTGTGACAGGTTTTCCTTCCAGGATCCAGCATACAGAGCTGGAATGGTTTTACAACACGCACTCAGAATCGCTTTTCTTTCTTGTAATTTTCTGTCCATCTTATTCTGTCTACTTTACTACAGTCCAGTGGTGCAAGAAATCCTTGTCTGTGAACATCTGGAATAAACACAGTAGATTTACAGGTAACTGGAAATCAACAATTCCTGCTGAGCCAGGGAGAAATCCACAGTAACAATGCTGAAAGTGAAATTAATCCACCTATGTATATTAAATCTCTTTTTACTCATAATTAGGGAGAAATAGAAAAGAAAGCTGCAACATCAAGGCAACAAGGGACCTGACTCTGAAAGAGAGCAGTGAATCAGACTGCAATAAATTCACCTTTCATTTGGGACTGCCCAAATGTAAGGGGCTGTCTTAGAAAGGAAATAATAATAATTTTAAAAATCAATTAGTTTTCCCTCTGTATTGATTTTTTAAAAGTATATCTCTGGAGAGATTCCACTTCAGTGTCTACAAAGAAAAGCTGTCCAATGCATGCAGTGGTTTGAATGAGACATCAGACAGGGACCACTAATCTAGAGCTATTTCATTACTCAAAATCTAACAAAATCAGCTCATTTTTCTTGCTTTCACTACATATGAGGACACTCAAATAAATAGAGGACAGCCAGCCTGGAGGGCTTTATATAATGTAATGGTGTAACAGTTAAATTCTTTTGCTGCTTTTGCTGAGCTTGTTCACACTGCATGACTCCCAAGACCCAATCCTGTTCTGATTGAAGCTAGAGAGATGTTTGCCACACATTTCAGAGAGAACAAAACCAGCCCTTCAGTCACAGCACCTCTGCCAGACACTGTTTCACACCCTGCCAAAATGTCAGAGCTTGAATCACTTCAGTAGCTTGAGCCATTTAAAACTGGACTGAACAAAGCTCTGGAGAATGAACTGCAGAGGAAAACCTTCCCCTGTTTCTTTCCTTATCTCTGATTCTGTCTCACTGGGTTACATGGATAGCAACCAAAAACTGCAGAGCATTGACAGACAGGGAGTCACTGGGTGATCCGTGCTGCTGCTTCACAAGGAAGCTGTGAAAATATGGAAGTAACATTCTCCATTCCCACCTATTTGCATAATGTCCGAGATGAATTAAGTGAATCATAACACAAAGATTATAGAGCAGCTGCCTGAAATGTTTAGAAAAAAAATATACACAGTTTTGAAACATTTCCTGCCAGCTTTGAACAACAGTGCATTGAAAGTACAAAGTAAAGGTCTTCAGCAATGTAATTTGTATAGGTGTGTAGTAAAATTGGCTCACCAAAAATGCTGAGCTGGAATGCTCATTTTGCCAGTTAGAGAGCTGCTTCCATGGTTAATCCAACAGAGGGAGCTGCAAAAGCTCAGGGACAGTTTGGCTGGGTACAGTGATGCTGGTAATTCAATTATACTGGTTGGTCACACTAACACCAAAGTTACTCCGGAGATACAGATCACATTGAGCCTGCCAAGAGAGCTGGCCCTGCAGAATTCCTTTGGTATGATGTACATCTCAGTGCTCTCCAAACCACTGATGAGTTGCAGATTGGGCTGCAGGACCCAGGAAAACTTCATGAATTGACTGTATTGCATGATGTTGTAGATATAAAATATGGAGCAGATATGTTGTCTTAAGTGAGGGAGGTGCAAGTTGTGTAAGTTTTGTCTGTTTTCACATATACTTTCCCATTCCTACCTGCAGGACTTGCAAAATAACATCATAGCACCAGGTGAGCCTTTTCACAGGGCACCACAACCCAAAACTGAGATTTCAGTCTAACTTTACTGTCAAACACTCTGAAATCAGAGAAGCATCACATTGCACCGGTTGGGGAAGAATAATTTCAACTAGGATCTCTATTTTAGACAAAATGCACCATTGTAACTGCACTACTTTCTGCACCGAGGTTTCTTGCCCTGAGTCTCACCATCTCGTCTGGGTTTGTTAATCAGCAGTTTTAAGGCTGGCTATTCTGCTTCTCTTTTTGCCACATTTTCTGGGATCTGTTGCAATTCTTATCAAAGTATTCAATTCTTACCAAGTAATTAAATTCATCAGCATAAATTAATCACCAAAGCACCCTTTGAGCAGTATTACAGATGGGGAAAATGAGATAAGAGCTCACTCAACCAGTAGCCTGAGGCTGTGCAGCAAAAAAATGACTGAAATTATGCTTCTTGAATTCAGGAGTTCCTGTCTCCCAGCTCTCTTCTCAGAGTAGATCATTCCTTTAGACTGCATTTGCAATAGGAAATACAAATCTAATAGGACAGACTTGGCTCAGCGTAGGCATACAGAGATCTAATCGTCAGCAGGCTGGTGAACTACAAGGGGGACCAAACCAGACACACTTCATATTGCTGTTTGCATCAGACTGGCAGCCTCTGTCCAAATGCTGTGTGTTAAGAGACAGCAATCCTGCATGAAAACAGGACACCAAATCTTAACCTGCTGGTGGTGGCCTTCTCCCACCGAGGCAGTACGATGCAAATTGGCTGCATAGAGAAAAGAAGGCCCAGAGAAGTAAGGTAAATAATTTTCAAAGGGCTGTTGCAGAAAGTGAGCCAACTGCTGATGTATGTGGATTGTGTTTGAAAGTGTGGGAAAGCTCCTTGCTCACAGGGAATTGGAAACGTTCAGGTTAAGCAGAGGACAATGTTCTGTTGTGCAATCTCAGCGTGGAGGGGTTTTTTTTGTTTTGAGCACATATGCCTAGATTTCTGGGAAGAGCACATCTAAGAACACCATATTCAAGAGGACCGTGCTAAAGCAAGTGTTCTTCCCCTTTAATTTTTAAGTGGTTACAAAACAATGAAGCCCTCAGTTCTTTACACTTCACAGGGAAGAATGTACAAAGAGCTACTTAATCTCTTCAGCTCTTTCATTCTCATGGATATCCAGTTGCAAGGTATCTGTATCTGTCTCCAAACTCTCCGCTGATCCCCAAAGCAAAGTTTGTCCAACTGTAAGCTCTTGTTCTAACATGCTGTTTCAGACTGACCAGGTTTCAGCATGCAAGGCTTGTTCTGCATGAACCTGTTTGACATTGGCAGAGAAGTGGGATCACAAAATCCGGCAGTACTCCTTCTGCACTGAAATGTCGAGTAAGCACTTTCACAATGCAAGGCTAATCTTACTCCTGATGTCTGAGATCCAGAAGGAAGCAAGCAACACAACTAAAGTAGCCCACGTCACCAAGGAAGATTTGAATGCTTCCTGATTGGTCTTCAAATAAGTATTTCATGTGCTTCTAACAGAAACAGGCTCGCAATTCAAGCATTGTACAGTTTTCTTCATCGTTGCAAACTGCAATTAGGGAATCAGATGGCAAGATATAAATCACATCACAGGATCAGCTAGGAAACAATAATGAAAGCAGACAGTGTTGGGGATTCTATTTTTGTTGCCCGGTTATTGCTAGGCAGTCTCAAATGCAAATAGATGGGGAAAAAAAAAAAGAAAATAAACATATTTATAGCTAAGGTGATAACAACCTGTACACCAAATTAATTTGTGAAATTTGCAAAATTAAAATGCCACATTTAGCTCAGTCACTTAGCAACAGCTGCTTCAGTTTAAAATGCGATCATTCTGCAGCTGTTAGCTGTCACCTAGGGCTGAAGCTCCCATCCCTCTAGCAAAGTCAGCAGGAGAAAAATGTGTCCCTGCATTTTGGCTGCTCCTCTTCACAATCCAATGTCTTGACTCAAACACATTGTTATCGACCATCTGCGAGTTGGGCTTTGTTGTCAAGCAGGATCTCAGCACACACTCACTCTGACAGCTCTCCTGTGAGGCAGTTCCCCACTCAGAGAAGCAGTGCAAATAATGATGTCTTAAACTGCCCCAGCAGCACTCATCACACTGATACCTGAAATTCAGACAAAATCAGAATTGTGAATAAATATTACCAAGAAAATTAGGGTGAGAAAACTTCTACTGAGTTTTTGCTACAGTGTAATAAAAAATTTAGAGACCATTAGGCCAAAACGAAGCCTGAGACAATGTAGCCTAAGGGCTAAGGCACAGCCCAGGGAAAGGGAGCTGAGTAGTTCTGGGCTAAGCAATCTGACTGCTTACATGCAATGCTGCTCCACACCCTGGGTTATTTTCTTGTTTCCTGATGCATAACCGTGTTTGTTGGGCGTGTGTTCAAATCAGCTCCATCCTTTGTAGGGCAGGTGTGCTTGGGGCAGGAGCCCTCAGTGGATGCAGACAAAGGAACACCTGCTCCAGTCTCCTGAGTAGAGTTAAGAGCAATACAGGAGCCAGAGCTGCTTGCGCTTGCTGAGACAGCATCCGGCCCAATATGCAGAAGGAAAGCCCAGAGTGCACACGTGTACAGGCCAAGAGCAAGGCTTTCATCTGAAGGTTTTGTCAGTCTCAGGATGGCTCATGGGTACCACTAGAACACTAATTACAGAGGCCTGATTGTCTTCTGCCCACTGCCCTCCATAGTCATTTATGATATGGATATCAAGAGTTCATCACCTTTTCTCTTAACCTCTATTTTGTTCTGCAACTCATGTACATATGCATTTTAGTGGAAACAAAAATAAAATCAACTGCAGAGTACGTACCACTATATTCAAACAGCTAGTAAGAACACTTAAGCTTTCATTAGCCTAAAAAAGAAATGTGTGTGCTTCACCCCTACTACAGGAAGTAAATTTCCTGCAGCAGAGTTCTCATACATAATAAGGAGATGCAGAACAGAATATTTGTGGGGAAAAATGAAAAAAAGTAAACAGGATGCTCAGATCAGAGACTGCCAGTGGCTATACATTCTCCTTTTTTTTTTCTTCCCCAAACCCTGTGAGGTAATATTATGACTAATAAGATCACAATCACGGGCTGTAAGGCCCACTTAGTAAGACAAAATAAATTTAAAAGCACAAACCTAAGGGCTTGAAAATAAATTGGGTCAGAAAGCAACACCAGAAACTGCATGGGAAGTTTTCTATTTCAATCTATTCTCCCTTCTTTTAGCCTTCCAGGTGTTTTTTTTTGTTGTTGTTGTTGTTTTGTTTTAGCTTGTTTTTCATTAACTGCAATTTTACAGATGTTCAGGGTGATCAGAAATGCAGCTTAAATTACTTCTTTGCTACTAGCAGATTCCTGCTATAGAACAAGTCTCCTTGCTGGTCAGTCACTGTCAAATGAAAACTTGGTTTTGTCTGGAAAACTTCTTTAGACTGCTGCCAAAATTTTCTTCTCTTATTGGCACAGGGAAGTGATGGAGTCATCGTTCCTGGAGTTGCTCAAGAAATGTGTAGATGTGGCCCTCAGGAGCATGGTTAGTTGGCATGGTGGGGATGGATGGGTCAACAGGAATAGGTTATCTTAGTGGTCTTTTCCAATCTGAATGATTCTATGATTCTCAGCATACTGAACCTTTCCCTTCTGACTGTCTCAGCCTACCTTTCTGATGCTAAGCTCAATCTAAAAACTGGAAGGGAACCACCCAGCCCAAACCAGGAATCTGAATTTTCTGTCTACTTCCCAGGGCGTTTTTAAAAGATATCTATATTGGTATATAAATTCAATAGATAAATCCAAGCCTGACAGAAAAATTTCTCTCTTCAACCCACTCCACAACGTATTTCCCAAACAAGCTCATGAGGTCTTGCTCTACTTGCAATAGAAAACTGACCTTTTGTAGGCATTATGTAGACAGTGCAATCTGCATTTGCCAAAGACCACGTTCAGCAACACTGTGCAAGTACTCATTCACTTCCTTCAATCACAGTCAATTCTGCACATCCAAATGACACAGAGCTCCAAAGCCATGCAGAACCTTCACATTCATGGTGACTGTATCCCTGCACCTGCAAGTCAGCAGCCCGGATGGAGCTTAGCAATCCCAGGATATGGTTAGGCATCTTTGCTATCTGTGTTTTTTCCATGTGTCTCTCCTTTTCAACCTGTTAGTTTGGCCTTGCTAACACGTGGCACACAACATTTTAATAGGCTCAGGGACACAGTCATGAAAAATCCTAAGTAGGGAAATTAGATCATACTTGTTTTTGTCACTATTCTTGATGTCATCCTCACTAAAAGCTGACTCCCTTTTCTTTCTGGCAGTGTGTCAACTATTTCACTGGAGGCCTGAAAGACTCCATTCTTCTTGTAAAAATCAGTTACTTTGTAAAATAAGTCTACACCCTTGTGCTGATATTATCTATCTTGGTTTCCTCCTTTTACTTTTTGCCTCATCACCTGACTCTAAATTCCCCAGATTTGCCATTAAGCCTTTCGCTCCCATCAAGGTCAAATTAGTGGGTCTGAGAGGCCTACTCACTAAACTGCAGCTTACTCTGCAGAGCATCCAAGAAATAGAACGTTTGAGACTTCTACTCCACAGAGATTCAGGTTTTCTTGGAAGTAATTTTCCATTTTGCTTGCAATGTAGTCCCAAATAAAGCATTACATGACAGTGAAATCACAGCACTGAAGTGTTATTTGCACTTTGGTTGCAAGATAACATTTTTGCTTGCTATGCCCACTATTTTTATTTGCTGTGGTGTCACCTACAGCAGGGGGAAGTCATTTCAGACATCAACACTAGCATTTCTCCCTTGTGTAACAAAGTAATCATTTGAAGTGTGATCACTGATACCTAACCACTGATCAAAATGCTGCTGAGGAAACCAAAGTTTGTCAGAGTGCGTGAGATGACTTGTCTTGTTATTTCAATTGGAATGGAAAGTTTTGATCCTGCTGCTCATCCACATGCCTGCATGCCGGGCCAAATTCCCCTGCCAATCTCAAGCTCACATATATATTTGACCAGTCACCCCAGGTGTCATTCTACAGCCTTCCATGCAAGCACATAAACCTACCACTATTTTTTATTTATTTTTTAACTCAATCTCTTATCCAGGCTTTTAGCATATGGTACTAAACTAAGTGGACATCACAGCCTCTCTGTACCAACCACACCAAATCACTTTGGAGAAGACAGAGCCAGAGCTGCCAAAAAATGCACTGACTTTGAAGAGCTGCACCCAGGGACCTGAAGACAGCTACAGCAGAATGATGGCAGGCATCCACAGGGATTGAGCTCCTCAGACAAGCTCCCTGACCTGAGAAAGCTCTGTTCCCCCAGCTCAATCAGATGGGACTGCAGCACAAAGAATGAGACAGCCAGACCGTCCTTGACTGCCTGCCTGCCTGATGAGACGAGTGCTGGCCACTCAAGCGTTTTCAAAGAAGATGAGTTGAGCTGTTTTCTGTTACAAAACCAAGCAGCTTATCTAATACCGTTAAGAAATGCATAGAAGCCAGAAATGTTCATGGTCACTACTGCATGCCCGAATCACTTCGAGCTCTGTGGGAAGAAGAAAGAAGAATGGATGTCTCCAAACCCACAGGCATTTCTAATGAAACAAAATGACAATCTCCATTGTCCATTAGCAACACTCAGCCTATAACATCCAGCTGGGGAGTTCTGACATGCGTTGGTTGGCCTTAAGGAGATCAGAAGGTTTTCTATTACAAATTACTACTAACCACCCTTATCACTACAAAGTTTAGAGACCTAAGGTCATAACACAGCACAGTCCAAAGATAACACATCTCCTGTTCTGAAAAGCACAGACATGGACAAGTGAGGGGCTGCCTCCTGCTATCAGCGTTCTGAAAACAACCATCACACATCCCAGCTGCCTTTGCTCAGCCAAAGATAGTAGAACTTCGACAGATACTCAGTGCTGTGACTGCACAGAATTACAGTCCTTGCCCAGATGTTCCAGATTCTACCACTATATGCACCATATACAACATTAATTAAATGTGTAAGAAGAACATTAATGAAATTTGCATATCTAAGTATTCAAAAGCCAGGAAATGCCAAAGTGAATGTCAGCTGCGCCACTTTAATTAGTGCTCTTTGCAGATACCCTATAATGGATTTTAATTATGTGATTTAGTGCTGGTTTTCCACAGATCCCTGCTTCATTTAGTTTACAAAACAACATCACTCACTTAAGGGCTAGGTGTCATTTGGCTTTATGCACCAAATTTAGGTAATCTGAATCCTTAGCAAGGTGAATCTCCTTTTGAAATACAAATCTTGAAACAGTGAATGTACAAAATGTTAATTTAGGTACCTCAGTAATCCATTCTTAATAGAAATAGCAGCTCAAATTCTTTTTCCTCCTCTTTTTTCATGCATATCCCAATGCCTTTTTCATTGTACGTTGGCCAAACCTGAAGACAGAAAACATTAATTTATTCTACAGCTTTCTATTCTTTACATCATAATAGAACTTCAGCATTTCTTAATCTGTTGTAACAACGTGGAAGCAGAACTGCAATCTCCAGCCTCAGAGGGAACCGCTCTTACTTGGCCTTAGTTTCTCACTTCCCATACATGCTGTCATCTCCTTTTTGTTTGTCCCATACATTTACCTCCACACACACCAGACTATTTAGGTAAATGTCTCCACTCCCCCACAGCCATTCCAACACCTCCGTAGGGCCAGTCCCAGTTTCCTGCTCATGTCCCCTTCCTCCTACTACCTTCTCACCCCGTCTCCATCACTCTCCCACCCGTCGTTTTATTTTACTGTTGAAGTTCAGTACATCTCCCCAGAAGAAAAGAAGTGAGGTTCTTTTTCAGAGTCGTAAGACTTGGCCATATTTGGGTCAGCTTTCACAGGCATGAGGTACATTCCTGACTCATTGTCTATCTTCTTGCCAGGCTGAAAAAGCATAAAAGCATCTAAGCATCTCAGATAAGTTGCTGCCAGTATTTTAAAGCTAAGAACAACCTATTCTCTTTTCATATTGGGAGAGAAATGAACAGCTCTGTTTGAAATTTAAGGAGAAAGTAGGGAGGAAAGAGTCATCTAAGACAGGCATTTGACTGAAAAACTTCATTGTTAACTAAAACTAGATAAGTAGCTTCAAGCAGATGCCACATTACAACTGGCTAAGGGAAGACAATTATTTTCATTGCAAATGATGGTTTTTCAAAGTCTGTATGAGCTGCTGTCACCTTGATATCACTTCAGATACATTTCTGAAGAAATCTGCAAAGTTGTGGTCCACTGACTCATGAATTAAGTCCATTAGAATACTCTTAGCTTGTAAACGCAAAGAGAGGGAACTACCTTTTCACAGGTGCTTGCTGAATAACTTGCCCAATGGGCTCCATGCATTTACTTAATATGTTTTTGAATACACTGCATCCTTTAGCACCCAAAAGGAACACTTGTGGTTTTTTTCCACATGACCACAAAGAGAGCCACAAAGATGATCAGAGGGCTGGAGCAGCTCCTCTGTGAAGACAGGCTGAGGGAGCTGGGCTTGTTCAGCCTGGAGAAGAGAAGGCTGCGGGGTGACCTCACTGCAGCCTTACAGTACCTAAAGGGAGCCTACAAACAGGAGGGGAGTCAACTCTTTGAAAGGATAGATAACCCTGAAACCTTTGCAGCAGGTTATTTCAGTTTATTTCAGTTTTGCTCAACACACAAGCTAGTTCTCCCATATCCTCAGCCAGTCTCATTATACCTTTGGGGAGTTGGGCTGAAGATTCTGCCTAGAGCAGACTAGCAGACATTGCACTTCAGAAATCATAGAATCATAGAATCACAAGGTTGGAAACGACCTACAAGATCATCTAGTCCAACCGTCCTCCCATCACCACTGCCACCACAAGCACCAAACCACATCTCGTAGCTCCTCATCCAGACGCCTGTTGAACACTGCCAGGGACGGCGACTCCACCACCTCCCTGGGCAGCCATTCCAGTGCCTGACCACTCTCTGAGAGAAACAGTTCTTCCTTGTGTCCAACCTAAACCTCCTCTGGTACAACTTGCGGCCATTTCCTCGGGTCCTGTTCGTTGCCTGGGAGAAGAAGCCAAACTCCTCCTCACAACCTCCCTTCAGGTAGTTATAGAGAACAATGAGGTCTCCCCTGAGCCTCCTCTTCTCCAGGCTGAACATTCCCGGCTCCTTCAGCCTCTCCTCATCAGGCCTGTGTTCCAGACCCCTCACCAGTTTCGTTGCCCTTCTCTGGACACGCTCCAGGGCCTCAATGTCTTTCTTGCAGTGAAGGGCTCAAAACTGAACACAGGACTCAAGGTGCGGCCTCACCAGTGCTGAGTACAGGGGGATGAAATCTTCTGGTTGAAATCATCCATAGTAGCCTCATTAAGATTCAGTCTTTCCCTTTATATTTATTGCTTAGCAAATCAGGCAGGGTTGTACTGGCACAACCTAGAGAACTGACCTAACTGGTAATTTCACTTTAAAATTGTTCTCAGATTTCTTGGAGGTTGTTACATTTCAGCAAAGTATTACTCACAGCAAATGAGCCTGCAAATATTTTAACTATGATTCTGAGAAAATAACTGATAATACGGTGGGAAAGGAAGCCTTGAATCACGCGTTCATGTTCTCTGCTACTACAAGCAAGGGAATCCAAGCTTCAAATAAACGTGTTTGGTTTTTGTTGGTGAGCTGCTTGCATGGCAGAGTTCTGCTGAGCATTAGCTTCCTCCATGTTCTTCAAAACAGCAACTAGAGATGTAACACTTGGTTTGTCTTCATTTGGGACACGCTTAACTGCTGGTCTCCTGAACATAAGCTGCTGGCAACCATACCCAAATGGTTTCTCTCTACCCTTTCAAAACTCCTCTAACCAATATTTTTTCTTAGTCCACTACATGGAATAATACCAAACAGCACTTTATTTCTATTCCTCCAGTCTTCGAGGTTATGTGGTACTTCTTTACAATGTTTCAGTCTTCCTGTGTTTTGATATTGCTTTCCAATTTTGTCTCATCAGTAAACTTCATTAGCAGCTACTGTTGTGTTTTAGAGCAAGTAGCCTCAAAAACATGATTCATTTATTATTATGTTTTACCTGCATTGTGTGATTTTTCTCTGGCTTTGCTGCAAATGCTTGACAAGCCTGTAACCATGTAACCTAATCATTAACAATACACGTTTCTCTAAGAAGCACAACTGGTACTACTGTACCAATTTTCCCATTAAAGATTTTTCAACCGGCTTTAAAACTGTCACTGCTCAAAGCTGATTTGCCACTATGCAGACTGGGAAACTGCGAAGGCACTTCTGTCCAAATCCTCAATGATATTCCAATTAAAATGAAGTGACCTTGTTTGTTAAGTTCAAAAATGCTGCCCACTGAGAAGAAAGGTATCTGTTGTTTGACAGAACTATTTTTCTAAGACTGCTGAAAACTCAACTCAGCACCACACTGAATTGTTTTCTGAAATCCTGAGGGCTAGAAATCAGAGAAGGTAGGAGAAATGTGTGTGTAACAGAAGCTTCAATTTGGGGAAGCAGTGGCATTACAGAAAATTAGTGATTGGCTGTAGTTATGCTCTGGCTGAATCTGACCCTGGTCCAACCTTCAATTAAAGGCGACATGGAAGGTCAGGCTTCAGAGACTTCAACATGGCATCTCTCCACAGGCTGCAACTCACAAAGAAGTAGAAACAGAATAATTGAGAAGTGGCAGGCTTGGCACAGAAAGCTGTTTCAAAGACTCAGTGTCTCAGTGTCATCCTTCAAGTTACCTCTCATTATCTGTATTCAAAGTTGATGCCTAGGTTTTTAGTGAGGAAAGAAGTCTTCTTATAGTCAGTGCCCTCAGCTTACCCTCATGAAAACCTTCAAAGCTCCGCTTGACTCAACTGGAGCTTGGGTTCAGAGCAAACAGCAAAGCTACTGCTCAATTTTAAGGCCAAGAATAGCCATGCAGCAGCAGCTGAAGGTAAAAAAGCAACAAACAGTATCACACCCACAGCAACGATTGCACTCTCCATTCTTGAGATGGGTTACATGTTCTGATATCTCAGTTTTTGGGTTGAAGTGGCTGGAGGGAGTATCTGGGGTTGCACAGACTTGGGAGCCTGGAGGTCTAGCTGCTGCTTAGTTCCTCCACATAATCCACAGCCCTCCTGTCATCTCAGGCGAGGCAGTTAGCTGTCTGTTGATTTAATAACTAGGAAAACAAGTAATTCTCCACCGCGTCTCATAACAGGGCTGCAAAACACACTTCTACTGTTTGTGCAACGTTCTAAGATTGCTGTTAGTAACAATCATTTGCATTCTACCAGGTGATCTCGTCTGAGACCTAACTGTCTCAGATAATCCACTGCAATGATGATACACACATCCACATGTTTACACTGCAAACAGACAAGCAGAAGGATACAGATATTCAGAGATCAAATTAAGACAATACAAAACAAAAATAATGCAGAAAAAGACTAGATTACACCTCTGTTGGCTACTTTTGTTGCCAGTGCTTTTCCACCACCTTAACTCACCTTTCATAGCTATGTTATACTTCTAAATAGAAGTTCTCCATTTAGCAAACCTTCTCACACTGGAAAAAAAGTAGATATTAAAGTATAAAACACAAGCAAACAAAAGATGTGGTAATCCCCCACGGATAAATATTGTATCTGACTGAAAAGCAGTTGTGTTAATAAGGCTTTCATATTATTAAACTTTCAAAACAATTATGTGAGCAGAATGATAAACAGGCATGATATGTCTCAGTGCTAAGAGCAGCATTTGCATTCACAAGATCTTCTGCCACAGGGAGCTACTCACTCAAACTGCTCCTTCTGTCTAATGCTGAAGGTTTCATTTTCTTCAGTTTCCCAGCTTCCCAAAGAACAAATGTGCCTGGATCAGCAGGGATAGCAGAAAAGATGAGCTTACACAATGCTCTCCCTGAAGGAAACCACAGAGGACATGGGCACGGTAAAGCTTGAACAGAATATGTAAACACTAAGCAGGCATCAAATCAGTCATGTTCCTTTTTCCAAATCTTTCCTTTGGCATCAGCCAAAGACAACATCAGAGTCAACTAAAAGTTGTGATCACCCCCTAACATGTTTCTTCATTCACCTTTGGTCAAACTTGCTGTTGCAGTTGTCTGATTCAAACCCTAAGATGTGTTTCCTCCTCTTTTTTTCTTTAAGCCTTTCCTCATCTGTTCATAAAGAAAGCAGAGTTCCCAGTTGCTTTTTGATCTACTTCTATTGTATTTTGGAAGCTATAAGCAACATGAGTCATTATCACTAACAGTTGAGAGAAGAACAAACAAGCTCGCTTCTTTCCCACAAAGCTTTTTGCCACACTTGCTATCACACTGTTTTGGATACATTCTTTCATACCTGCCATCTGACAGCGGGCTCAGAA